TTTAAATCCCAGGAACAATCAAGAATATTTAATCTTCTCTCAGGTTTCACTTGTGTATGGTTCAGCTACCAAAAATCTGAACCACTCTGAAAAAAAAAGTCAAAATCATATTATTACAGCTATCCCCATAAAACACTATACTTGCACAAAGTCATTTTATAGGGACAGCTGTAATATACTATACTTGCAGAAAACCTTGAACATAAAGTTGTGCTACAGTATTTGCTTGATTTTCACTTACAAAAATAAAGTAAAAGAAAGTATTCTCCCATTTGTTGTAGAAGTAAACTGATAAGGCAATACCAAATCAAAACTATCTATTTTGGCATGGCTCTAAAAACTGCAGTGCTCTCCTCACTGTGCTTAGCACAAGTGCCAGACATTTTTCTTCTGTAAATAAGGATCTTGTCCAGGTTCTGGGTTAAAAGAATGTAAAGAGAAAGGTTTGAAATATTCAGACAGAATTCTGAAGCTTAAACTTTCAGCATAGTTCTCAAAGCAACATGATGATATCAGTTCACAAATAGCTTAAGCAGAGATCCAGCATAGTGGTAGTTGTCTCAGGCTACGTAACAGGCCTTTCAAAAGAGTATGAAGTAACATAATTGAAATGTATTTGGCAAGATGCCACCACTCAGATGATATCCAAGCCTCATGGACATGTACAGTACACAGCAATTCATCATCTCATACTATGTGGCACTGACATTTCTTGTGTCAAGCCAAAAATAGATACAGCAAAAGTAAATTGAGCCCCACATGTGGAAGCCAGTAAGGCCTCTGCATGTTATACACACAACAATATTTAAAAAAAAAAAAAAAAAAAAAAAAAAAAGAGACCAAGTTGAGGAACAACAAATGGACTTTCACGGTGATCAGCGGTGCAGTGAAAGCCTCTCAGAAAGGAAGGAGGATCAAGACAGGGGCTCAGAGAACAAGAACTGCACAACGACTTTCCAAGTCATGCAGAAGCAAGTACCGAACTAGGCAGACTTCCTCCCAGGATGCAACAGACCACAGATTCTCAAGCCTCCAAATTGCATGAAGATCTGGAGTATCTTGTCCTATGGAAGTGTATGTACTAGTCCCCTGCACACAGCCCAAATCAGCAAAGCTGGAGAAAAAACAGAGCAACTCTATCAGAACACAGATTTTTAAGTAGCAGCTTAAATAGGTAAAAGAAAGGGGGGCAGAGTTGAGCACAGGAATAGTAGCACAAAACTTGTTTCAAAGAATTCAGCTATTCAAGCAAGCTGTCAGAAGAGCACCAATAATCAGAGCTGACACTGAGGCAGACCTCCACCCTTTCTGGATAACAAATTCACTAGAGCTCTAACATTTGCACGCTAGACTACACAAAAGAAATTGAAACATCCTAAGTATCCCTTTGGTGGCTGAACTCCCACATCTCAAAAAGCCAATGAAGCCAACAAATTAAAAAAAATCTGCAATTCCACTTCACAGAACATGGCTTATATGTCCAGCAGAACCATAATTTAATAAAAGATTTCAGCAATAAATTCTCTACTAGTGGTTAGAGTGAGCTCCAAGAAGAGTGTCATGTCGTTGGTGCATGTTCTCCACACTAGGGAGTGACACAGATCATACCAGAGCATTACTGCCAATTGGCAAGGCAGCCTTCAGCCCCACAGACAGAACATGCAGAGCTCACAGTAACACTGTATGAAGCTAAGGCAAGAGAAAAAGAGAAAAAAAAAAATTTAAAACAGTGAGTGAATGAGTAGTATTCAGAGAAAGAGCACTTTCTTAATCTATATTTGCATAGCAACCAGTGCAACAAAGCCCATGAAGAGTTCAGCTTTTAAATACTACCATAATGCAGATACTTTTCTGATGGTGCCTCGTGGAGCAAGAGCTGCCTGCAGTGCTTAAGCCACCCTGTCTGGTCATGAACAGGTAAGCAAAAGATGACTGTCACTCCCGCAGCTGCTGCACACGGAGAAAGTGTAAATGGTTTAGGACACAAGGAAGCTAAGCGTCTCTTACTCCTAAGTGGGAGGCAGAAGCAGAAAGCAGGACAATGCATTTCATCCATAGCCGAAACACCATCTGCTGCCCACATCCGATTCACAATCAGCGTTATGCTAACAACCAACACACATTTTTAAGGTATCTTGAGGGAACTCTCCATATAGGAGAAATATTCTGTAGTTTTTGATTTTAAAAAAGCTTTAAAAAAGTTGCTGACTCCAGAATCATGTTCTACTCTTTGTCCGTCTGCTCTGTGACAAAATCAAACAGACAAAACCCTTATGAGCCGTCCCATGACTACTCCAAACATGAGTGTTTGCTATGCCTACAGCCTGCCTGGGTCAAATCAGTCACCTCTTGCAAGGGATGAAAATTCATCTCCTTTTAAGGTACCAGTTGCTAAAAACCCCACACAAACCCAACTTTTAATTCAGCTACATGGAAAAGTTTATTTACTGGGAGCCAAGACGAGGACTCTTATGTTGAACACCTCCATTAGCCTGGGTACAACTTAATCTGAAAATTCGCAGTAAAGGGCAACTACACACCATTCCTGGCTTCCCAGTCCTGCCACCTCCCTACAACTTGATCTAGAGATTGCGTGGTCTGATGGATCGAGGCACTTGTAGTCTGACCTGGCTCACCGCTTGGCCCTATGATCATCCACTTCGACACAAAAAAGGTGGGGTAAACACAGGGTGGGGAAGAGGTTGATACAATCACCCCTTTTGGCAGCTGTCAGAGCAGATTCAGTGTTTCGCAAAACCACATCGTGAGCTGAGCAGTCATCATTGTTACCCAACTCACAAGAGACACAAGAGAAAAATCGTAGTATTCTCAAATCAGAAACCTAGTGTGCTATTTACCAAGTAAGCACGTGTTTCAGATTTGAAGCCACTTCGTACGGTTGTCTATCAGAGGCTGCTGAAGTCAAACAGAAGTGTGCTGTGGAAGTTAATCAAAACACACTACTTCTGGTTTAAGGTGTTTCTTTTGACAGCCATCCAACACACTGAAGCACATCTTTCAGTGCATATGGGACTACCATGCTCACTTCCAAGGGTTTAAAAAAAATCAGGACAACACCCATTAGATCCATTCCCTGGCATGATACTGCAAAGGGCATTTCTGTAGAACACTGGTGCAAGCAAAGCCCTGAGCACATCAACTGCGCACAGGGTTTTTTGAAGAAGCCTGATCTAAACTACATTGGAAACGACTGAAGCCAGACAAATTTGTGAGAGCTACCTATCATTAGAATGCTGCTCTGCTAGTCTAGATTACAAACTTCCCAAAGGTGCCAGACGAGACCATCATGGCCAGTAGCAGAGCCAGTAAGCAAAACCACACAAAGCCAACATCATTTATAATGGTCCGTCTTCAAGGCATCCGGTAGCTAACCCAGTAAGTCTCACTGCATTCCCAGGCAGATTGTTGGAATTAAGAATGAAAGACAATGAGAAAAATGAAACAAGTGAACACACTGAGAGAAAGCTGGCATGTTCTCTGTAAAGGGCAGAGTCACCTGCCCGGGGCAGCAGCCCAGAGACCTCTTACATGCCACGGCTGTGAGGGTCTCCCCGTGCACAGGGCCACAGCCACCACCCACCCCGCTGAAGCAGCCAGGCAGACCAGATCAGCAAGCCAGCCAGCCACCCTGGCACAGCCTGGAAGCCCCCGCCATGGCCTGGGCAGGTACTCACATCCGCCCCACGCCCTCGTACATGCGGGTCTCGTCCACCAGCATCATGACCTCCGTGTCGGTGAGGTGGGCGTGCTTCTTGGTCTTGCTCAGCTGCTCGATCTGGATGTCGGCGAGCTTCACCTTCTGCTGCGTGTCTATCACCTTGGCCTGCAGCTCGGTGAAGGCCTGCGGGGGGAGAGAGCAGGGGCGATG